GGGGCGCGGTGGCGGCGGTGGAGATGGGGACGAGGGGATGGGTGCGACGGGGGGCCGCGTGCGGGGGCAAGGAGGCACGGGTGGGGCGCGAGGGACGCTAGGGTTTGGAGTTTGGACGAGGGGGGTGAGAGGGATGAGAGTGTGAGGGGGACGAGGGTTGCTGTCGGATCCGGGGCCATCCGACGGCATTGGAGGCACGATCCGCGTGACATGCCTATGGACCAATCAGAACCCAGTAAACGTTATGACCATCTAAATTGGTCAAAATAAGGTGTTGAATCATATAAACAGTTTTATGATATGAAAAATTCAAAAAAAAAACATTCTCATTGTGTCAGCAAATCTGACCTACTTTTTAGGAAAACTAACAAACTTGGAATTGGAATAAGACAAATATCTTTAAAAAGTGTTATGAGAAATAAATTTTTAGGAAAAAATTAATTTCTATTTTCGGAATGACAAAATTCTTTTTTTTGAGAAGAATCTACCAAATATTTGTTTTAAAATGACACCACACCATTTCCAAAACTATAAGACATCATTTTATGTACAGTTCACCAAATCTTAACATGTAAAATATTTTCGATCCACCTCTCATCAAAAAGACAAGTTATGTTTCAAAAAAGAATCTACCTCAGCATTCTTTTGTTTTTCTTCTATCTTTTCACATGAAAAATTAAAAAAAATGATCTCATATTGTGCACAAGGGTGCATATTGGAATTCAAGACAATGTTGCCTAAGGGAGTTTTCATTTTCTTTGCACGGAAAAATCATTTTCCATTTTTCGAGTGCCCGAAATGAGTTTTTTGTGAAGGACCTACCAAATATGTGCTGGGTTCGTCATTGATGGATGGCAGATATGGTTTCCTCATTCGGCGTGTAGTCGTGGTGGGGTACTAGTTCTGGAGTTTGATGGCATGCCCAGGGTGTTCACCGGTCTGATTCATTCAGCGGCAATGGCTTCACCTTTTGGTGAGCCACCTTGGAGGTCTGCAAAGCTGCATAACAGCGAGGGAGCCGCGTCGAGCTCGGGTGAGGAGGTGATCCATCATTCTTTTTCATTGATGGTTGTTGTAGTGGTGCCAGAGATAGGT